TAAGTCTTCCAACCTTTTAAATATTCCTTTATATGTGGTTCAGAGTACTGGGACCATTCCCTGAGCCTTCTTGGTCCTGTATTCTGTGTTGTTCTCGGCAGAGCTCGTTAGTACACTTCCACCCGATCCACCATCTTTATTCAGAAGTCCCCTAATGATGTTTTGATGTCATCCCACAACTCTTTTGGTGTTTGGTCATTGGTGTCTAATGCATCAAATCTGTTCTTGAGATGGTTTCTAAATTCAGGTGGGATATGCTCAAGGTCATTTTTGTCCCTGGTTTTAAGTTTCTTCAACTTCAGCCTGAACTTGCATATAAGCAATTGATGGCTTCTTCCACAATCTGCCCCTGACTTTATTTTATCTGATGATATTGACCTTTTCCATTGTCTCTTCTCACAGATGTACTCAAATTGACTCTTGTGTATTCCATCTGGTGAGGTTCATGTATGCAGTCACCTTTATGGTGTTGAAAAACAGTATTTTCCATGAATAACTAATTTGTCTTGCAAAATTCTGTCATGCAACCTCCTGTTTAATTTCTGCCACCAAGGCTGTATTTTCCAACATTCTAATAGGAGTCCTCGTATGGCACTGTGGGCTAATGCATCAGACTGCAAAGTCATTTGATTGGCAAGGTCAGTGGTTCAAGCTTACCAGCTGCTCCTTGGAAACCCTATACAGGGTGACTATTGATCAGAATCAACTCGACAGCACTTAACATCAACAATAATTTAGGTCCTTAGTATTTTACTAACTTCATTGAGATCTAAGGTGCACCTGACCCAAGCCATGGTATTTTCAGTTAGCTCATATGCATGCAAAAGCTGGAAAATAAGGAAGATCAGAGAAGAACTGATATATTCAAATCACAGTGCTGTTGAAGTATATTAAATATAACATGGGCTGCCAGAAAAGCAAGCAAATGTGCCCTGGATGAAGTACAGTCAGAATGCTTCTTAGAAGTGAGGATGGTGGGACCATATCGCATATCCTTTGGACATCTTATCAGTAGGACCCACTTCCTGGAGAATAACATACTTGAAATAGGTAGGGTCTGTGACAAAGAGGCACACCCTCAACTAGAAGGACTGACACAATGGTTGCCACAGTGGGCTCAAATTTAGCAACAATTTTGGGGATGGATCAGAAATGGGTAGTGTTTAGTACTGTTGTACATAGAATTGCTATGAGTTGTAACTGACTCGATAGCACTTAGCACCAACAAGTGTAAAAGGAAGAAATGAAAGGTTTACCACAACCATATCTACCCACTCCAAAAAAAATACAGTGGAAAGAAAACATCTCCTATATTATTATGTCCTACCTCTAAGGCCATGTGATCAAGTTGCATTTTGGACCACTCATGTTGCTTCTGCTTCTCTCTACCAATTTAAGTAGAATGAGGGAAGAGAAACCTTTCATCCCAGAGTATGTAC